TTAAATCATTGAAAGGTCATCAATCCCATGCAGATTCTTTGCAATTTGATGATAATAAACAATCTATAGTAATGGCCAAAAAAAAAAAAAAAAGAAAGATAATTTATAATGCCCTTTGCCCCCGCTTTGATTACCACAAACTAGGTCAAAATGATGGGAAGATAAGCTGTATCCACCTTTGTTTTTCCTTAATTTTTCTTAATTAAAAAAAGTTTGTATAATTTAAAAATTAAAACAGTGACAAGGGAATCCCCATTGGAAATAGTCCAAATGCTCCAAAATTACATGATTCAAGATCCCTGTCAGGCCATCACCTCCCTCCAACCTTGTTTTAAAGTAAAGGGCTGAGATTTTTCTACTAATAAACATATTATAACAATAAATTTTGCAATCTGAATCTCATATAGAAAATAGGAACAGGATAAATTGGAGTGCCAGCTAGCTAGCTAAATGTTTGAGTAATTAATTTTGGCTGAATTGGATTTTGTTTTGGATCAGTGAGGGGAGAGCATTTCTAAGAATGTCTTTTCTAGTGAAGTGCAAAGGTCAAAAAGGTATGGTACCTACTGACAATCTGACACTAATTAATTTTAATTCATTTTTTGAAGCATGGGAGTAACAAAATTGATGATTTGTTCTCAACATAGATTTTTTTTTTTTTTTGAATAAAAGTTTGTTATAACTAAAAATTGAATAAAAAAAATCTTTAAAAATTGAGAAATAAATTAATTGCATGCAATGAAACCAAACCAGCATTGGTTGGATTAAATTAAAACTGAGATACTTTTGAGATGTTACAGCCGAACTACTTGAGACCTTAATTCAACTCTGTGTAGTAATATATATTATCATGCTTTCCATTTTCATTAATCTACATGAATCTGTTTGCTTTTGAAGTTATGTGGGGGCATTGCTCTTTGCTTCATTATTTCTTTTGGAAAGGAAAATGATGAGAAGACAGAAAGTAGGATTAAGGATCTAGATTTTCCAACCTCATTTTGGGGGTCCAAATAAGTTTTCCCTTTTGGAAATGAATGAATCTCAATTTGAAAGTTGAGAAGAAGTTTCTATCAAGAATCAACCTAGAAAAAGGAGGCACCAAACCACTCCCAAAAATCAAACATGGTAAATGACTCTGGACTCAAACCAAAGAAAACAAAAAAAAATCGAAACTTGAAATTCCCACTAAATATTATTATTAACTTTCATAGAAAATATTGATAATTTTTTTTTGGTATGGACAACCTAGTATCCGAAAGCTTACTAGACTATCGACTAATCCAGATTCAAGCCGAGTATGACCCAACATGCTTCAAAACTCTCAGGGTTTGAAACCAAAAACTCTCGTTAAACAGGAAGAGTTCCTTTGCTAACTCATCCATCTATTCGTGGGTAAATATTGATAATTAAAATCATACTAAACAATGATAACAAACCAAAACAAGTTATTTATTTATATTTGGCAAGAGGAAACAAATTCTACTGGATACATAAAACAGGTTTCTGCTACATATTAAAAATTGGAATTCATCTCTCTAAAATTGTCAGTACAGGGCAAGTAACATAAACATACTGAAAGGAAATCTCTTTCACTCATTCTTCAGACGAGGCAGAAGTTCCCTGAGCATAATGTCTGGATAACAGATAAATTAAAGATCTTGAAACATAGCACACTTAATCAGCAATAACACACATCCATAACCCTTTTCCCTTGATCTACAGACTTACAAATGTAAATATTTTCATGACACTGAAGCACTGTCCATGCAGAATCAAATATTCTCAAGTCTGCCCAAAAAACATGCAGTCTTTAAGAGCCTGCTAATATGAATCTGATCTTTCATTGTTAGTACAAACTCAAAGCCCAGGAGATCAACACTTTACACCCAACAGAAAGCAGCATAATTAATGTTAACTCAAAGTTTGTGAAACATTACCTCATGCACTGCTCAGTTGTTCTCCCAATGGTTTTCAGATCAAAGATTGCAATCCAGTAGCCACTGGGATACTTGATGAATGCAAATCCCTTCCATTTTCCCTGCAACTAGACTAATTGAAAGAAGATACATGAATTACAGTCAGAAAAAAAAGGGGGGGATAATTCAGCCCCTTAACTAATTTTTGTTGTAAATCAGTTCTCATAACTCCCCTTCTTGGAGTATTTGGGCCAACACGATGAACTTATTATTTTCAAGAAAATAACTCATTTCAAGTTCTTGAAGCCTTCTGCTTTATTACAAATCATCTGTCTTTGGCTCTTCTAATTTTTCATCATTCTAGCAGGAGAATGGTTGGATTCAGAAATTCATGGATACCTAACCCTTCTATGTTTATACTAGGATTTTGATTTGACAATAAAAAATTGAGTTATTTTGGTAAATGAGGCCTAGGTGACAAACTTTTTTCTCCATTTCTCTATTCTAGAATCACTACTCTCATAATACAAACATCAAGTTAAAACAGAATCTTTATGCCACTATAATCACCAGAAATCACAGCATAAGAAGTTTAAATTGAAGCATTAAATTTCAAGAGACATTATTCTTTGACAGATTCTATTTCCTGAAAGATGTGGCATACTGGCATAGCTGGCATACCACCATCATCTGGGTTTTTTTACAAACTCTGCTCCAAGGCCATCAAATTCTCATATGCCTTGTATGTGTCATCAACAGCAATCCCATCCCAATATGTCCTTAAAAAAACATGATAAGCTTATTACTCCAAGGCCAATACAACCTCAAAGAGAGGGAATTGCTGGCATTGTTTACTAACTTTGATATAAGAGTAAAGACATAGCCAGTGGCAAGACGCATTTGATCACCTATGGCTACAATTTGAAAGTTGCTATGTAATAAGCAATAACTGCAATTTGAAAGTATTGTATTTTAATTCCAAAATCCAAATAAAAGAATTTGGGATTCACCCAAAAAGCAGATTGATGGTATCTCATCATTCATCAAATTGTCTGATTTGCCAGCCTCTATACTATATCTAAGCAATCAAGAAGATCAGTTCATACTAAATCATAAAAACTGCATACCAAAGCCACAGGGTTCTGAATTCACAATGTTTAACTTGCTACCATTTGAAAATCAAGACTGAATTTAGAATCCTTAGTTCGAAACATCTGCAGCAGCAACAACATCACACGCAAAGGAAAACCTTTTCAAACCAATTGACATACTCAAGCTTCTATAAATAATAAATAGAAGACCAATATCTTACAGTCTGTTGCATGATGTAGCCTTTGGTGACTTCACCCTTTAGCGTGGAGGCCGGAGTTGTTTGGCGGCGACTTCCTTGGCGCCGATGATACCATTGAATACAACGGAAATATATGGGTTCTGCGGTGGAATGAAAAAGAAGAGAAATTGGGTTAACGAAAGCCCAGTTTCAATCGATAAAATTATTATATAATTCACTCTATTTTTTTTTTCTTTTTTTGTCTATAAGTAATATTATAAAATAATATTTATTTATTTTATCCTTAAAAAATTTAAAAAAATTATTTTAAAATTATATTATTTTAATAACTTTTTATTAAAAAAATTACAATACTTTATTTTAATAATATAAATTAAACTTTTTAGTTTTTCCTCTCACTAGTTAATTAAAATAACATATTTTTAAAATATATTTCTTTTAATTTTGGAGAGATACGAACACATAAACACCATTA